GTGATACTACATGGCAGAAGATCAAACAGCAATGTGACACACACTGGGAATTTGCTGTGCTAAGACCAAGTAGAAAGGCAGTATCAAAACTAGGGCATATACAACATCACTTTAACACTATTAGGACATCTTTACTGCTAAGGAAAAGCAGCAAATGCTGTAGTTGCTTCTCACCAGGGAAGGCTTCCAGTGTCCTCTACATGCCTGTCCTCTGTCAGGGACTGGTTTTGGTGTTCAGTCCCTTTATGACCTTCAGTGCCTGTCTCAGCCCTGTCTTAAAATCTGTCCTGGCTGTAGCCAGCTGGAGCTGGATTAGAGATTTATCTCTTTCCTGGAGCTGTATATTGTTCAGAGAATCTCCATGAATTACACTCTTTGCTATAGTTAATTAGACAGCTGTTTATTAACCTGTGCAAGATGCTGTATTGGAGAGTAACAAATCAGTTATTCAAATGTGGGCACAAAGATCTGTAAGATTGGAAAAGTCATTTTGGGACAGGGGGACATAACTGTTTATCTTCAACTGCACCTTCATCTCTGAAACAACCTTCTTCATTCAAAGAAAGTTGTTGTGGACCAGAAAACACTTGGAGCAGGGTTCTTACATTTATAGGAAGCAATCAGAAGATGCTGTGGATAGATCTAAGGATGAACTGTGTGGACTGCAGTGGGATCTGATACCACCTTGATGAATTCCATAAGTCTTCTGCAACCAGAGAAGGTGGATATGTGAGGATCTCAGGAGAAGAAAGGTCCCTATTCCAGCTGACTCTTAGGGTTCCCTGTGCAATTTGTGTTATGCACAACTGCATACCCTCTGGGCTCTATCTTCTTTTTTTAGGAAGCATCTTTGCCCATGAAATCTGGGAGAGCCCCTTCTTTGTATAGTAGCCCAGCTGTTCATAATCAATCTCTTCTACAAACCAAGGGCAAAGCACTCAATAGAGTACCTCTAACATTATTTAAGTGCCAAAACTGTTTTGTCCTCTGAGTTACCATTGACAGCTCACAAAAGAGGTTAATAAATAGATTGTGCTGCAATTTTGAGGGGCTGTGTGTTGTTTTCCACTGAAGAACCTTATTCATTAGAGGCAGGTCCTGTCAGACCAACCTGTCAGACCAACCTGGCGGCCTTCTATGACCAGGTCAC